CTGGGCAACGTCGTGGTCATGGCTGCAGCAGTGCACCTTTTCATTCTAAAGTTCGGCCCCTTCATCATTGGGGGTACCTACCAGTCAATAATAAATTGCTTGTAAACTTGTAACACATTTTTGTTGGGGGGGGTGATTGGTATGATTGGTTCCCCCACTAAAGATTGCGGGTTGGATTTTTGTCCCCCACGATTCACCAATCCGTGGAACGCTTTGACCGACCGGAACATCCACCGCAGACCCGGCGAGCCGAATTTAACTGAGCAAGAAGGCGCCGGAAAAAAAAAAAAAAAAAAAACAGAAACCACTTGTGGCACTTCATGTAATACTCATCTCTTGACTTAAGAAACTAACCAAATAATGAAGAGGCTGTTCAATTCAATTTGGAGAGGGCTTATTATTCATCAAGAGTCTATACATTAGTGTCCCAAAAACTTGGAGGGGCTTGGTACGACTTCTATGTGATGCCGACAATTGATGTATCAATCCAGTAGCCCGGCCATACTTTTTTACAAATTCAGCAGGTGTCTTGACTGGCTTGGGGCTTCTAGCGACAGAAGCTGCGGAACCGTTTTTAATCCAAACAGCGGCAGATTCTGAGTGACTTAAAGCCCCAAAGGTGTGAGCCACAAAAAGAAGACTTCCAGGACCTTCAAAGTGACCGAACTTGAGATCCCAGAATGAGGTCACGACTCGTCCCTAAAGATGTCACTTGGAGAATCCAGTTTGAGATCAGTTTGAAGGTCCTGGTTCCTGACTTGCTGTTGTTGTGGTGTTCATTTGGCCTTCAAAACCCTCAACATGCAGGTGTGAAAACACACCGCTCAATGCCTGACACATCCAGTGGAGGTTTCTGACGAGCACCCCCACACACCCAACACTTTTTCACAGCGGCCAAAGAGCTGTCAAACACTATGAACAAGCGCTTTTGCCAAAACGCGTTTGGCGTTTGGAACCCCAACCAAACCCACCAAGTGGCGAGTCTCACCCCACTTTCAACTGAACAAAGATCCGTCAAATTCGACGGTTCTTGGATGTTACCCGTGATCTTCACCTCCCACCTCCCACCTCCCAACTTCGCGGGGGTGAGCCAGCTTTCTTCTGGCCCCTCCCAAAAATCCACCTCTGACACACTCCATGGGATTCTCATCTTTGCCGATATTATTTGCCTATAGTGGGATGGTTTAGTCAATGTGGAAATGGATCCTTCGTCGCCTTGGGAGAAGAAAAAGGACGTCCGTCCACTAACCAGGTCGGGTCGCTGCATGGGCATGGGGAAACCATGGGAAACCGTTCGCTCGGGAAGCTCGGGTCGTTTCCAGGTTGCTTCGCTCTCATGGTTAACCCCCTCGTGCTTGCTAGGCAGTACCGTGGCCTGGACATCGGCTTCAGCATCGCCTACCCGGGTCGGAACCAGCCGGCCTCGGACGGGTGGCCAGGCCGGTGCCGTCGGCCGTGACGAACGTCGGTGTGGGTTTTTCGGAACAGAAGTTCGGGCTCTTAGAGGTCAATGCCAGAATTTCAGGTGTGAATTTGGTGGGGGTCCTTTGATATCCTTTGATGGGATGAAGATGGATGAAGATGGAATGTGTTCATGCAAAAACAGGCTTAGCTGAAGATTTTGAGAGATTGTAGGACTGGGTTTTAAGAGTTCATTGTCCTTCCTCAACAGATTTGTTTGTGATTCTTCTCAAGTGGTTTAACCTCCAAACCCTGAGACACTGCTCTGCGAATCCACGAGAATAGTGCGGAGAGAGTGCCTGGCGCAGTGAAAAGCCAGGCGCAGAGAGTGTGCTCAACTTCTTTGATGTGGCATTCACCTTGGTGTTCTTCGCAGAGATGGTGCTGAGATTGTGCCTTGCTGTAAGATGGTGGTAGCGGATGCTCTAACTGGATGTATATAGCTAGTGGACCTGAGTGGTGCTGTGTAGCGATATTGTAGCGATGTTCAACGTTAAAAGCCAAATTCTTGGGCTTTGAGGCTTGACTTCGAAGGTTCGATCCATTTGCTATACCAGCAACACGTCCAAGAAGCCACAAAACTTGGAAACGTCAGAAGATACGCCCTGAGAGTATCCTCATTGACTCCTTTCTTATAACTTTTGTGTGTTTTTGTTGCTCATTTTCACTCCCCTATCTAGAAGACCTTCAGAACTGCTTCGTGACCGAACCTGGGAGAGTGAAGAGGTGGACGCGGACGACGGTTCGGTATACCTCTTTTGAGGGGCCCTGTCCACGAGTTGATCTCAGGTTTGTCTACGACATCTCCTTCTTCAAGTTGGCATTGAAACTCGGCTGAGCCGGGCGACCGGCTACACGTGTGGGCGCGGCGCAGTGCGAAGTCGATGAACCGTTCCCCAGAGCATCCATGTATATGGAATATTTATCTAACATGTGACCCCCATCTTTGTAAACAAACGTTCCATCAAAATTCCTGCGCAGGTTTTTTGGGGGAGGAAAAAATCGTCGCACCGGTCCGTGATTGGCCGACCTTCTGCTCTGTGGGATCGTCGACCGTCACCCGGACGAGCCCGGACGAACGACCTCCCTATATAGTAGACGTCATGTATAGTCTGTTTTTCTTGTTCAACAGGAACATGTTGTTCCTGTTCCTTGTTTGGTGCTTAAAAAGACCTCACACCTTATTGAAAAGCACGGAATTTGTTAGGGTTTGGTCCGTGCTCTGAGCCTTTTATAATGATGGACTCGAAAGCCCCGGAGAATGCAAGAGGCACAAGTTCTGAAGGAGGATAGCCAGATAGTCATTGTCATTGTTTCCTGCAGCATTCTTTCCAGTCAATGACATGCACTCAACGAACTTCAATGAGATCAATATATGTCCCAGCAACCCGGCAATTGCCACCCCTGCTGTGAATGTATGGACATCACACCTGGAGAGGTGTTTCACAGCCCTATACAGTATCTTGCCCAACCCATATATATATATATATAGGTGTACCGTACCACTAAAATCAGAGACCAGTTCAGGTCTCAAACAACCTCTCAACATCATGATCAGGAACTGGTTAGACTTCACAGTGGTCGTCTTCTCCTTCATCGAACTCTTGGCAGCTTCCATCCCAGGCTCTTCGACGGCTGCTTGGTGATGCTCTCACCAACGGCGATGTGGTGTTTGTTTGTTGGGCGGCTTTGTACTGTTGATTTGTTTGGAAGAGTCTTTAAAGTGGCTTCTGGGATATAGAATTTCTTGGGAGATGATGTTGGAAGTAGGCTGATTATGTTGCCTCCCATATGCAGCCCTTGGTGCAGCTCAAGAGCGGTCCGAATCTGGTGGCGCATTCGCGCACGGCCCGAGGTCTTGCGCTTGGTGCGCCTGGCCAAGTTGGCGCGGGGCTTACGGGTGGTGCGCATGGCACGGATCATGGATTCGCTGAATCTCCTGCCACCCGGCAGCTGGAATTGCTTCATTGTTGCAATGGACAAGGCTGCGTGGGTTGGTAATGTATGGTAATGTGTTAAGTTTGCGTTTGCGAACCAAGAGCCCGTATGGACTCAGTATACGCAAAAGGAAAGAGACGGACATTTGCATTGGGTGGAGAAAGGAATCACGCCAAGTTTGGGGGCGATGGATGAAGATGGGAAGCTTCAGATCGTTTTTCATAATCTTGGACTCTTGGACCAGAAATGAATCGAATCCCTTTCAGAATCGAATCAGATTCTGTGACCTTTCGAAGAATAGCTGCAAACACGATAAATAGCGACAACATGTTCTCAGACCCAGGTCATTCCCCAGACCATGGGACGATGTCAGTCTCCTTCTTGACAGAGGGAAACTAGCTGCATGTTTTTTTATTTTTTTAACGAAAGAACATGAAAGAAACATGGGGTTCAGAGTTCAGTTTGGGACTCGGAACGTTGGATCTCCTGGGAACGTCGGGAGAATCATCATTGGAACCACGGGAGACATACACCCCATTTGTAGGTGTGGATTCCTTGAATCGGACATCACCGTCATGCGTCATGGCCAGGAGCTGAGGCCCCCCAAGCGGTTTGTACCGTTTGGTCCTTTGGTGGCCGCAGAAAAAAAAACACATCAACATAGGTAAACCCTCACTCTGGGGATCGGATCTCATTGCGGAAACGGTTGCGAGGCTTAAAAGTATTGGTGCCAGCGTCTCGATGCTTCTTTGGTCGATGCTGCTTCTAGCCGTGATCCAATGCACAGCAGGACGATCCATCTCGCGTTGAAGCATTGGGACAGAGTGAGGTTGGTTGATATGAGTACTGGTTTTAATGAGAATCTCCAACCCATGACGGGAACATGAGCCCAAGAAACCCCAGAAAGAAGAGATTCAGGCAGCTCTGAATATAATATATTAGTATTTATATATATATATATAGTATTATAGAATATAGTATAATAAATATATTAAACAGATAGACTGGTTGAGGACAGGAGTCCCACTTAGGATGTGTTCTTTTTCGTTTCTTCCGGACGCCGCAGCGGTTTCCGCCTCCGCGCGGACAGCCCGCTGGTCTGGAACGCGGAGAACACCGGACTGGTCCTTCCTCACATGGCCGGACCGGTCCTTCGGAGGGTCGGAAGCCACTGAGATGGCTCAGTCTTTCTATGAGTTTAGATGGATATCAAACACCAAACCTGCGGGGATTGCGCCATCTACTCTTTTCATCACGAACGAAGGGGAGTCGTCGTTTTAGAGCGAACCGCGAGGACATGATCGCCATACGCCAGAGGGGTGGGTTTGACACATGACCTGGTGGGTTTCATTCATTGAAGCGGTTGTGTTACATATTTTTGTTTGAATTCATGTATCGGAAGACTGATTGAGTGCAACATGCAAACGTATACAAACATATCCAAACCATACAGGTGCACAAAAACACTAAGGACACCACATCTCCTCTCTCTCGCGACCTCATCTCTCCCAATTCCTGACTCATGTATTCTCAATCATCACGTCGCTCATCTCATTGTCTCTCTTATTTTTTCTCATGTATCTCTGACATCACTGCTAGGAATGTTCGTTGGCTACCTGGTCATGGACTTCTTAGAGAAGGAGGGCACCCCTGACGATGTCCGACGACAGATCTATCGGCACCTGGATTAATTCTGCGGAGTCGAACGTGGCCGGCATGGCCGTCACGACATGTCCCGACGAAAGGCACTTCCAGGAAGGATACTCGATTGTTGACCGACACGTAGGGATAGCCATCCCGGATAGCCATCCCGGCTCCGGCCATCGCTATGTAGGGTGGAGGCCAAGGCTCTTAGGTTGGAGGCCATCTATGAAAAGGACTTCCCAGCACCTCGTGATGTACCTGACGGCAACAACGCACGGAGGTTGGTCGGGTCTTACCGTCCAATCGACCGGTACCAGTCACAAGGTGCCTGACGAATCAAAGAAACGACGAACATCTGAGGTATTACGGCACCTTCACCTACACCATCCTCACGATGTTTGAAGCTCGCTGTTCCGACTATTCCTCCCAGAACCCAGCAATGACCTTGACTGATGTGATATTCGATTGAATTAAGTTCTTTTCGGCCTATATACTGCAGGTTATACAAATCAATATGTGGCTTGGACTGATCGCAAGTCACGTTGGAATCCTGTAGAAATCTGTAGAATATGTCTTTTGGAATGGTTCCTGAATGTTTTCTGTTTTCAAGAGATTGGGCAATGCCCCTGCTAGGGCAGTGCTTGCATACACTGCATATACGTCGGTCTTGGGTTGTGATTTGACGGTCTTTCTCTTGCCTTGTTTTTTGGCAACGTGCGATTGCAGTTTCAGCACGACACTCCATGAGTCACTCCATGATTTGCCCTCATTCAAAAAAACAGAGTCAGCTTGCCCAGTTGGCCATTTTGAGGCCCAAGGTTCCTGCAAGGCTCTAAATACTCGACCCACCTCAAGCCACTATTGGTCTTGCAAAACGTGCAACCCCCTGCCGATATTATCCAACATCCATAGGAGGTGATCTTTGCCAACTGGCCCATCCCATGCCTCTTGGTGTGCATGTTGACCCGCGTGCACGGTGTGGCACATGGCGGCCACAGGGGATTGGAGGTGTGTGGTGGGTCTTAGTGGTGGGTGAAGGCTTTTGGATGTTGACAGATGCTGTGTTGACCAATGTTGACCATATGTTGACCATTATCACTACCATTATCATAAAGATGACATGATGACCAGAGGCGACAGGAGGGTTGGTCAAAAGAAACATGACAACCACGGAGGTTTTGGGAGGCTTGGTCGAAGGGAACTGAAGAGGCTGGTGAATTGATCCACTCAACGTTGGGGCTTCGGCACCATGAACCCCTAACCTTCCAGTTCCCATGTAAAAACGTAATAGCCTCCAACTTGAAAAGTCTGATGAAAACACAATTCCTAATATAGAGACGGAACCGGAAGGGCTCTTAGGCAGATAAAACCTTATTAGTCAGATCTTTATCCCTGTGATTCCAAATTGCTTCAGGTTTGGTGACCATGTCCAGTTTCGATCTGTTTAACGTTTAAACACGCTCTATATTTGGGGGTGGGTGGGTTTTTGACCAAGCGTCCAGGTGGCATCGTCCAGTCATGGCAGCACCTTTCCTTTCCAGGTGGTACCGAGAATGAGTTGTTCATAGTTCTGCTGTTTTTTCTTCTGCTCTTTGTGCTTCTCTCCGGCTCCGTTCGGCCGCCTAATTCCGGCAATCGGTTCGATGTTTGGCAGGTGGGGTGGGGGATCTAGAGTCACCGAACCTGAGGAAAAACGGGACAGGAGCCCAAACAGAATCTGTTCTGTGTTTGCAAAAAATAGGCGAGAAACTGCCACCTGGATCGAAGCGACCTGGATGGTCATGGTGTGCAAACCAGCGGCGTTGTGGTGTTCCTGCTTTTGTTTGTGGGTTGGTTGATGTTTTTCTTCGGAAACTTTTTCCAGCCTTACGTCTCAAGGTAGATTGTTGGTGGACTATGTTGATGAGTGGTTCTCCTTGTACTTCATCATCTACCGCTGTGTCGTGGGAGTCCTGTCAGCAATACGGGAGAGTCCTGTCGCCATGTTCAAGCAAGCTCAGCTAGACTTTCCTCCCTCAATAGGTTTATGATAGGCAGAACAGCCCACAGATCAGGATGAATCGTTTGATAGGCAAAGCAGCATTTGATATCTGCCAAGTTTTGGTCGTTTGTGTAACTCATGATGAGGGCGGTGTGATTGGAGGTGGGTATAGTACAGTTACTTACCGCGCTAACAACACATGGCACATGGAGCTGTTCCTATGCAATGTGTCCAGTTTCCATTCTACCGTGTCACAACCCCAGGAATGCATATGGGCCTTAGATGGCCTTAGCTATTTGTAAAGCTTAAGGAAAGCATCCTGGAGCCCGTCGCGCTTGATTGTCTCTCTCAGGACTCTTCACCGACCAAATATGTTTCGTGCTTCCACGTCGACGAAGGGCTGTTTTCAGTGATTCAGCATGCACATTCCGCGTGCTCCTCCGCCATCATCCAATCTGTTTCCAGTCCACGCGTGGCATCGCGTGGCGCTATTGCGTGGCGCGTCAGCCAAGGATTCTGCGTTCTAAATGTCATCGGTGCAGCCCCTCGGATGTTGATTCGATGTGGGCTACGTATGAGTCAAGGTCTTGACAGATCATTTGTTGACTTAAGATGTGTTGTTGTTGTTTTTTTTCCGACACATGTTGTGCCACAGGCGAAAGATGCAGACTTTGCCGTACCCGACAGTACAGGCCATGTTTCTGCATTCCTGAGCCAATCCCGATGACATTCGGGATTCCCGGCCCACATGTCCTGAGCTCCCAACTGTACGATCAGGGCGAACTACGAGAGAAGGACGATCAGACCTGATCCCGGATCCACGATCCAACCAGGGAAGGTCCGGTCCCGGATGGTTCTTCCTTCGCTTGGAAGGTCGGCCAGGGGGGGTCCATATAGATCACCTGATGGTCCGATGCGTGGTGGCCCATGTGTGTGTTGCATGGTGGCCGATGCGTGGTGGCCGATGCAATGGTCGTCCATCCGGGAGTTATCCACTAGAACTGGAGTCGGGTTGTCATGAGGGGAACCATTCGAAGCCAGAGGGTGGGAGAACGGCACAGTTTGCGCCATGCAGCACTGAAGAGGAAGCACTGAAGCAAACTCGCCTGGAGTCACAAGATCCAAATGGTTGGGTTTGCAGTCTGTAAACAAGCTCATCATTAATATAGAAATGGAAAGGCCTGCAACCAGGCCCCATCATCATCCACTGGGCCCTGGTTAGATCGGATGGATCCAACCTATACCCAGATGCTGATACTCCATGTATGGCATGTTTACAGATCAAGCACCCCAATGTAGGTATAAATATGCCAGTCACATGGAGTGTTGGGGATCGGACATCCACTAGCCGCTGCCGTTCTCAAGTTTCGATCCTTATTCTTCGCCGGAGACGTGTGACCTCCAACCTGACGAGACATGTGACCTGTGCCGGGTGTTCTTTTGGACCGGGAGACGCTAAAAGATCCGGTGCGCAGATGGTGCGCAGATCGCGCGGCCCGAGGTGTTTGTTCAACAGACCATGTGACTTGGACTTGGGAAAAAACCTTTTCCGGATGGCCAGTGTGGATCCTGTGGAGCATGGGTGAAGCTTTTTCGGTCTACCGGGTTGCGCTAGGAGTCTTAAGCGCTATGATTTCTCTTGGAGTTCCAACGGTCCTTCATGATCTTCACTCTACATCTGAAATGCCGCCATTTGTCGGGAAATGATGGATTGTCAAAAAGTTCTCGGTGGCGCTGGAAGAAGAGACTTAGTTTTGTTCAAATCCGTGTGGGTTCTAGTCGTACCTTCTAAGAAGGTGTTTGCGGTTTCAAGTTTGGGCCGAAATACCTTCTGAGGAGCTACCGACTCTTCAGCCCTCTAGAAATGCCTGACCTTGGCCTTGCACCTGGTGTGACTCCTCAGTAGGACTCGGAGCTGGGGCGATGAGTCCTTACCAGTACCTCTTTCCGTCGTCCAGGACCTAAGGAGGAGTCGCCATATCATTTCGAAAGCACCAACATATCACACCATCGTTCTCCATGTTTTTTCATTTTGTCCTAGCCCACCCTGTGTCGAGTCTAAGGGTCTTCTCATCCGACCGTGTTTTTCGTCTAAGGAAGGTGGCTGCCGATGATCACGAGCTCTTCATGCAGCAGCAGACGCGCAACGCGGAAGCCTATGCTCGAAAGATCAAAGATGTGTTCCTTAGGAGCAGTTAGACTGGATAGAGTAGTTATAGACTGGATAGAGATACTACTGGTTCCTTGGGAACACGATAATACTGATTCCTTGGGAGCTGAAACACCATGATATCTGCAGGATAATTTCTATCTATTTGGAGAGATCTTTGATGATCTTTGGAGTAGTTATAGACTGGATAGAGATGGATAGAGTAAGAAACACCTAGATCTGGATGATACTTGGGGTAGGTTGTCTTAGGAGACCCCAAGAACCCTTGGTTGGGTAGACTGGTCTACAGATGTAAAAAGGATTTCACAGCCAGTTGGGAGTGTGGGCCGGAGGTCCTTCCTTTCCGCCCGGATGCCGACCATGCGGCCAAAAGATCGTGAACATGCGTGTTGCTTTAGTATGTTAGCTCGTGGCGTTAGCTCGAGCGCAGGGCGTGAAAAACGAGTTAACTCATTTGAAAATGGTAATGTGTGAGTTGGCTCTATTCTGACTGGTGCGGCTCGTAGAGAATTTAGGGAATGACCCCCGACAAGAATGGATACCTCAGGACTAGGATCTATTCCCTCATTCCCTGCAAGTCGCACCAGTCAGTATTTGGTGCTTGAGGAATTGATAATACTTTCTGGACATTGGGTCGCTGTTCAAGGCGGTGATGAAGAAAGAAGACAACAAAGTAAAGAAACAGTTCTCCTGTAAGAAAATCACAGCAGTTGGGGTGTATTTCACCACCCAGGCAACGAAGAAGGAACATCACCGTGTTCTACCCTTTGTTTTTTTTTGTTCACGCGGGTCGCGCGATTCAATTACGAACAAATTGTATTCACCCGGCTCATCAGATCACCTGGCATGTTCCGCAGGGGCCGCCGAGACACCCTAGAGATCCGAAGGCACTTCATCGGCTCAAAACAGCTCAATGTGTTGGATCGAAGGTTTGACCGATCGATTCAGTGTTTTTTTTTTTTTTTTCGACGAAGCGCAGGTTTCTTGAGCCCAGGAAAGTTGAGCTTTCTTTGTTTGTTGTTATATGTTCTATTGGAGGGGGGGAGGTGATAGCCTTCAAAAAAGCATAGGACGCCAAGAAGATCCACTTGTCTCCTTGGTCCATGATATGTCACGTGATTGATGCGTCACATACCGTGTGCCCTCTCCCATGAAAACCCAAGGTTCACCAAGCTGGATACTTCGGGCTGCTTGGCAAAGTCCTTGATACATTTGTCCTGTTTGGCATTGTCTCAAAGACATTGGCTGGGATTTTGTACACAAATCCTACAGTCACTGAGTGCAGGATCAAAGAAACTTATTTTTAAACTCGGGTATGTTTGTCTTACCCGCTTGTGGAGCTCCCTTTGTGCCCAGCTCCATGTCGACCTCCTCGGTGTGTTCTGGGAGCTCGCGCGCAGCGTCGCAGGTGAAGGGGTGATCTTCATGGATGAGTTTGTGGAGATCCTGAACACGCCGACCATGCCGCCTGTTTGGACACCGTTTTTGGAACCCAAACAACTGCGCAGAAGGGGGGGTCGGTCGCACCAAACGAAGGCTTTGCACCGAGTCGCCCAAGAGAAGGCCTACCGGGTCGCTCAGAGTTGGCCAATGGATGTGACGGTTCATGTGCGGTACTTCCATGGCTTTTTGAATGACATCCAATGACACTGGCTCATATAATCACGATCACCTGACCTGGCTTCAAAGGGGTGATCATCGTCCCGTCTTCCAAAGAGATGCAGACTTGGTCGCTCTGCTGGGGATCAGATGCAGGATCTCTCATGTTCTCAGCGATCGGACCTCCGGTCGCTCGTTGTTCCTCAGGTCGCACTTTATGACCAAGTTGGAATTGGAGTCGACGGATCTCTTGAGCCTCTTCAAACTGCTGCTCGGATCTCGTATCCGCCCATACGCCGTTACGCCCGTTTATACAGCGTCCCACGACCGAGGTGCGGGTCCCGAACAGAACACATGTTCTTCCAGGCTTCCAGGCATGGGAAGAGTAAAGAACACAAGAACAGCATGCAACGTTGGGTTGGTGAGGTATACAGTATTTAGGTGGCTCCTTTTCAAGCAGCATAGCCACAAACTGCACAAAAAGGCATGCACATTTCGGCGAAGGTCATGCACCGATGTATCTATCATTCGGATGCACCACTGGCTGCGCAGCCAGTGAATCCTTTTCTATCCCTACCCAGGAAGTACGTGGATCACCTGCAACATTCATCCTTTTTTTTTTCGGGGGGGGAATTGGGGATGCCCCACGTTTCACAAGAACAGTTCCTTCGTTCTCTCCGTTTCGGCTTTTCGGGAGCTGTTTTGGTCTAGTCCAAAGCATCGGTGTGAGTCTACCATGTGAGTCTGCCAAGAGAGGTTGAAGAATTCTGAAGACATCTATACCAGGACCCGACACTGTCAGGGTGTCTATAGCCCCTTTTTTGTAGCTGTGATTCGGGGTGTCCATGTCTCCCACCCCCTCTATCAGGCCCTGGTATAGACTATCCCAGTTGGGTACGCCAGGTTTTCCGGGTCCTTTATCGGGTCACTTCATCTCTTTGGGTAGGTGGGTGGTCGTACGTGCTGCATGAAATCTTTGATACCCAGTTCACCTTGCCATTCAACTGTACCTGGAACCGGCTTGGGCGCGCGCGCAGGGCGCGTAGTACAAAAGGGAGACCGACACCGCCCTGTCCGCGTGGCAACGACACCCCTGGATTCGGTTCGGGACCAGTGGAGCAGTCTACCAGGTGGGTTCTTAGGGGTCTCAGGCGCCAGGAGAGCCCAAATACCTTCTGAGAAGGTTTGTGGATCCATAGGGTAATATAGTGGACATAATATTATAGGGGGGGAGACCCCTAGGCCTATTTTCCCAGATCTACTGCCTATATAGAAGGTCT